AGAATCGGGGAATATTTAACGTGGGAAGGAGCTCTGGGCATCATCCAGCCCCAGGAACATGTCCAGGTGGGTTTCAGATGTCTCCAGACAGGGAGATTCCCCTCTTTCCCTGAGCAGCTGTTCCAGGGCTCTGCATCCTCCATGGGAAGAGCTTCTTCCTCATGTTCAAGTGGAACTTGTTGTGGTTTGGTTTCTGCTCATTGCTGCTCTTCCTGTCACTGGCACCACTGAACAGAGCCCGGCACCGCCCTCTGACACCCCTTGGAGACTTTTATAGGAATTGATGGGATCCCCTCTCAGCATTCCCTTCTCCACAGTGACCATATCCCGCTCCCGCAGGGAGATGCTGCAGATCCCGATTGGGATGGGATGGGATGGGCTGGGCAGGAGGGGGTGTAGCCGGGGGAGGAGTCTCTGTCACAGGTATATAAGGTGGGTGAGTTGGACGGGGATGATCCAGAGGAGAAGAGCTGGTGTCTGCTACAGGTGAGAGTTGGGGGTCGGGTTCCTGGCTGGAGCTATCYGGGATCAGCAGGGTTGGTTGGGGGATGCTCCCATGGGTGTCCCTGACTCCCAAAGCTGCCGATGCCCTCTCTGGGGGCCCAGGGCACGGGCACAGCCCGGGGTTGGTGTCTCACCTTTGCTCCAGCGCTGACTCAGSCTCCCACGTGTCCCTTTACGCAAGAGCCGCGCTGGCAGGGGACTCTGGCCTGGCGGCCACCGCTGGCCTGGCCCCGGCCAAAGGGCAGGACCAGCCCCTGTAAAGGCAGCGGTCTTGAATTGCTGCAGCCCAGGCTGGAACTGCCAGTGGGAAGAACTCACGGAGCAGACAAGAGCCCAAAGTGCAAGTGGGAACATCTCCTGGAGCAGAGAGGAGCTCCAAGTGCCAGTGGGACAAACTCCTGGAGTAGAGAGGAGCTGAAAGGAGCAGAAGATCCCCTGGAGCAGAGTATATAAGATCTGAAAGAAGTATATAAGATCTGAAAGAAGTATATAAGATCTGAAAGAGCTGAAAGAAGTGGAAGATCTCCTGGAGCAGAGAGGAGCTCCAAGTGCCAGTGGGACAATCTCCTGGAGCACAGAGGAGCTGAAAGGAGTGGAAGATCCCCTAGAACAGGGTGGAAGGCGCTGGTGGGAACAGCTCTCGAGTGGACAGGAGCTGACAGGAGCGCTGTCCTTCCTCCCCACAGGTTGCTCCGTGCTCCTGGAGAAGATGGATTACGCCAAATCCCTGAGCCAACGCCTGGCCGCCCCCGTCTCCAAGTGAGTGCCACAGATTGGGGACATCCATTGGAGCCCCTGTGCTCCTTGGGGTGCTGGCACTGCCCGGGGATGGTGCTGGCTCTCAGGACACCCCAATCCCTCTCTCTTTTTCCCAGATGTGTCTCAGCCAGCGCCTCCATGACCCAGCAGCTGCTGGCGGGCCCGGCCCCGGCTCCCCGACCCTTCCGCGTGTGCAACTGGGACCGCAGCCTGCGCAAGGGCGTCATGGCCCCGAGCCTGGCCGAGCTGCTGCGCCAGGTCTGTGTGTCTGTCTGGGCTCTGTGTGTCTGTCTGGGTGTCCAGGGTCCATCCCCAGCCCYGCTCACCCCCAGCTCTTTGCAGGCTCAGAGCTCCCTGGCCCTGGCAGCGCCCATCGTGCTGGTGCTGGATGAGGATGGCACCGCCGTGGAGACCGAGTCGTTCTTCCGCACGCTGGAGGAGGGCACGGCCCTGATGGCCCTGAGCAAGGGGCAGAGCTGGGCTGCCCCCAAGGTGAGGGGACGCTTGGGAGGGCTGGTTTGCCTCATCTGTGCCCTGCTAGGGTCAGCGGGGAGGTGGCACTGGAGGGTTGGGGTGCACCGGGTGACGGTGGCCCCGYTCTTCCTTAGACACGTGGCTACCAGGTGGGCCTGTCCCGCAAGCCCCCGCGCAGGATCGATGTCGCCTGTGTCACCTTCGACCTGTACAAGACCCACCCGAAGGACCTGGGCTGCCTCAACGTCAAAGCCACCCTGTAYGGCACCTACAGCATGTCCTACGACCTGCGCTGCTACGGGGCACGGCGCCTGATGAAGTGAGTGTGGGGAGATGGGGATGGCTGGGAGCAGGGACAGTGGGGAGCAGGGACACTGAGTGTCCAGGAGAAGGGACATTGAGTGCAGGATGTTGGGGACAGTGGGAAGCAGGGAGAACACGGAGCAGGGACACAGAGTGCGGGGTTTTGGGGACAGCCAGGAGCAGGGACACTGAGTGTGGGATTTTGGGGACAGCCAGGAGCAGGGACACTGGATGTGGGATTTTGGGGACAGCCAGGAGCAGAGACACTGAGTGTCCAGGAGCAGGGACACAGAGTGCGGGGTTTTGGGGACAGCCAGGAGCAGGGACACTGAGTGTGGGATGCTGGGGACAGCCAGGAGCAGGGACACTGAGTGCAGGGACACTGAGTGTGGGATGCTGGGGACAGCCGGGAGCAGGGACAGCCAGGAGCAGGGACACTGAGTGTGGGATTTTGGGGACAGCCAGGAGCAGGGACACTGAGTGTCCGGGAGCAGGGACAGCCAGGAGCAGGGACACTGAGTGCAGAATTTTGGGGACAGCGGGGAGCAGGGACACTATATGTGGGGACACTGTGGGATTTTGGGGACAGCCAGGAGCAGGGACACTGCCCGGCCCTCCCAGACACTGTCCCCTCTCTCCCCGCCAGGGAAGCCCTGCGCTGGACGCTGTTCACCATGCAGGCCACGGGCCACGTCCTGCTGGGCACCTCGTGCTACATGCAGCAGCTGCTGGACGCCACCGAGGAGGAGCAGAAGGAAGGGGACAAGAACCCGGTGCCCCTTCAGAGCCTCCTGCCCCGCAGCCTGCCYGCCCTGCCCTACAAGAAGATGCTGCAGTGAGGGCTGGCTGGGCTGGCCTGTCCCCTCCTCTGTCCCCCCAAGCCTCGGGGGTCCCTGCACCCCGCTAGGTCAATGCCCGGGCAGAGGCACAGCCTCTCCTCGCACTCCGCTGGCTGAGTGTGGCCACATCTGCTCTGGAACAGCTGCTGCTCTGTAAATATATTTATTTAAGTAAAGTTCTCCTGAATTCGGCTGTATCTTGTGTCATCGTTGTGGGGGGAGGGACGCTCGGCCCTTGAACTACTTGGCGCTCACMGGTGGTGATGTAAGAGGTGCGAGGAGGGGACCTGTTGCAAGCGCTTCCCCAGGGGAGCTGCTGCCTTCATCCTCCTCCTCCTCCCTGGCACCAGAGCCTGGTGGCACCTCCTACCTGCTGGCATGGAGCTGAGCTCCTCCTGGCACTGCAGACACCCCCAACAGGGTGAAGGGGCAAACCCCAAAGCCCCATTGGCAGCTGGCCCCATGCCTGCCCTTGCCCCACTTAAAGGGGTGAAAGCTTTCCTTGCTCCTTGTGCCCCTGACGGGGCAGGGCTGGCACAGAGGGATGGTCCTCACGCCCTGGAGGGGGTGTTCCTGTCCCTGGGGTCCCCAGCCCCCTCAGCAGCCCTGGGGGTCACTGTGCCCCTCCAGCCTTGCACAAGCCCGGGTGCTGGCCTGGCCCCAGCCAGGGGGGTCACAGGGCCTGGCAGCTCCAGGGACACCAAACAGAGCTGGGGGCACTGGGTTCTGGTGCCCTGGCCCTTGGGGTGTGTCCCTGAGTGTACAGGGGGGGTTCCCGTGCCCTCCCTGGCCCTTGGGGTGTGTCCCTGAGTGTACAGGGGGGGTTCCTGTGCCCTGGCCCTTGGGGACTGTCCCTGGGTGTGCAGGGGAAGCCCAGAAGGAGCACGATCCCCCCAACACAGGGTGGGAGGGAGGGGAACAGCCCCCTGCCCACCTCTGCTGGATGGGGAATACTGGGAAGCACTGGGGTGAGCTGTGGGGAGGGGAGAACCCATGTTCAGGGGGTCCTTAGGGCCATCCCCACCATGTGGGATGCCTGACCTGAGCCACACTCACCTGGGCACCCATTGCAGGGTTTGGAGCTGCAGCACAGGAACTGCTCGTGTGGCAGAGCCCTGAGCCCCACCTCAGGCTGGGGGAGCCTAATTAGCCTGATAACTAATGAGCTGTCAGAGTCAGCTGAGCCCCATGTGAGAGCAGTGACTTTGCCCCATGGCACAGCTGTGTGCCCTCCCTGGCTGACGTAGGTGCCACCCCAGGGCACCGGGGACAGTGTGGGGACAGTCATGCCCTGCCCTCCTGCTGTCACCCCACAGCTGCACACACCCCATGTCCCCATTCCCGGGTTCCACGGGGTGCCAGTGGCCGTGCCAGCCCCCTCAGTGTCCCCCACCCTCACACAGGTGTTTAGCAGACATATTTATTTCTGTACACACTTATACACACACAGTTCCCCGGGCAGCGCCATCCTCACTCCCGGCGCTGGCTCCGTGCAGGGGCCGCTCTGCGGTGGGGGCACCCCCCACGTTTCTTGGGGGGCTGGTGCCCCCCACACCCCCTCCCCAGCCCCGTAGTGTCTGCCTGGGG